CTTTTAAAAATCGGAAGGCGGGTTGACTACTCGTTTGACCCCTAAGTCTGCCGCCGCAAGTATCCAATGACATGGGAAATTGGAGTGTTTCGACGGTGCGTTAAAGGTGACTCGGAATGTTTGGTTGACCCGGTAAATGCTGTCGACGAGCTGAATGACAATTTCCCTCGAGATTGACTTTTCCATGCTTTGATTTAGTCAGGCAGGGTGGTGCTCTCGTATCTGCTTGGATTAGCTGTTTATACTTCTCCTACTCAACCCTCACTCGCAGTACTGTAGAGGTCTAAGGATAAATAATGGGAAACCTATGTTCATTAAAGCAGACGTAGTAAATTATTGCAAAAACCAACCGGGCTATTTGAAAGGCCATTCTGAAAACCTTTTACTCCCCTCCAACAGACCGAGAACCTCAAGGAGGTTCCTGGGAATGTTCTCCGTCGCCTCGTCAAGTACAGTGGACTGGTCTTGGAGCAGTGCAACGGCAGCGATGACTTCACCCCAGCCAGTAGCCTCTTGAATTCGGCATTTCGCCTCTTTCAACAAGGTGAGCAGACACATATTTCCTTGACCCTGCTTTCTAAACTACTTCCAAATTCAACCGACCAAAATCGGAGGCATAATTCACACTACTATGCTCCGCTGATGACTACAAACCCTTTTGCTGGGTTACTGTCCTGCCTCTGCAGATGGGTTAAGTAGCACACTTTTTTGTTACCTAAGTATCCTAATAAGGAGTGTGCTAGACAAAAGCACTCGTATTTACCTAACAGATGTTTAGGCTGCACTGGCCATCAAACTTAACCGGCTTCAAAAACAGAAAGACATTTAACGACCAAGTAAGCAACCCTGTGTAACTCATAAAAGACGCCCCTGGATGGCCAGGGCAGCCTCTAGGTCATATGGACATTCGTAACCTTAAGGTATTCTTCTCACAAAGTTCATCCGAACAGGGCTAAAACTTCCAGCGAAGCAGAGGTGAGCGGTATCTTCACATTTTCAGCTATCTGTTTCATTGCCCAGTTGGAGAGCTATGTTTACGAGGCGTGCATGCAGACGCCTATTCAATTGTGACAACGTAACTAGCCAATCAGGTGAGTCCTGGGGAAATCGAGGCAGGCGCGGCCAGGAGGGAATAACCAAGTGATTCGGTCACGCACAAAGCTCTGGCGTCCTCACGCGCGTGCTCGTGTCGTCCCTGAGCCAGGGGTGGAGGGAGGGGGCGCGGGGAGAAAGAATGAACGTGGCCGTAAAGCGTAACAGAAGAGTTTCCATCGAATTTCTCAATAGTCACGTCTGCGGAGGTTTGCTTCCCCGCGCGGCTCGTTGCTTTGGACGCGCCAAGTCCATGCACACCCGCAACTACATGCGAACTCGTATATATTATTAAACAAGATTTCAAGGGAATATGATTCCTCCATTATGTAGGGAGACTAAAAGCAGTGCG